AGGGATTTTTTAGTGGGGTTTTTTAAGGGTATTTTAAGGATAATTTTAATAATCGGCCTTCTTAAATATTTCCTTTTAATTCGGTTTTTAATATAGATGTCATTGTATTTGTATTGTGGTTTTTATGAGGCTGTTAGCCGCCCTGAGTCCCATGAGGAGAAGGGCGGGGTACAAATTAAATTAATAAATAAATAAATAATAATAAATATATCCAACCCAACTTCTTCATTTTCCCCACAACAATAATCCTGTGATTATTGGGAGAGAGGGCCTGGCCCACAGTCACCCTGCCAGCAGGACTAGAACTCACTGTCTCCCGGTGATTGGTCCAAAGTCACCCAGCTGACTTTCGTGCCTAATGCAGGACTAGAACTCACCATCTCCCGGTGATTGGCCTGGAGTCACCCATCTAGCATTCACGCCTAAGACAGAATTAGAACTCACCATCTCCTGGTGACTGGCCCAAATTCACCCAGCTGGCTTTCACGCCTAAGATGGGACTAGAACTCACCATCTCCTGGTGATTGGCCCAAAGTCACCCAGCTGGCTTTCCTGCCTAAGATGGGACTAGAACTCACTGTCTCCTGGTGATTAGCCCGGAGTCACCCATCTAGCTTTCACGCCTAAGACAGGACTAGAACTCACCATCTCCTGGTGATTGGCCCAAAGTCACCCAGCTGACTTTCGTGTCTAAGATGGTACTAGAATTCACCGTCTCCTGGTGATTAGCCCGGAGTCACCCATCTAGCTTTCATGCCTAAGGCAGGACCACGCCTAAAATGGGACTAGAACTCACTATCTCCTGGTGATTGGCCCAAAGTCATCCAGCTCGCTTTCCTGCCTAAGATGGGACTAGAACTCACCATCTCCTGGTGATTGGCCCAAAATCACCCAGCTGATTTTCGTGTCTAAGATGGGACTAGAACTCACCGTCTCCTGGTGATTGGCCCAAAGTCACCCAGCTGACTTTCGTGCCTAAGCTGACTAGAACTCACTGACTCCTAGTGATTGGCATGGCTCGTTTAGCAACTGCCTTGCTAAGCAACATAAATTCTGGTCCCAATTACAGCCATCAAGTCAAGGACTACCTGTACCATTATTTTCTCCCTAAATTTATTTACTAGAGAAGTCACTTAGGGGCCGCTCGGAGCAAATTGCATTAATTGCAGTTTGCATGGCCCTTCCAGGTGGGCTGCGAGTGCAGCCCTAATATGTTTGTAGTTGCCAGGTTATGGTGTGTGTGCTCCTTTGAACCTCATCATTCATGCTACCGCTCTCTTTTTTTCCCTCTCGTTACAGCTCCTGGAAGAGAAATGTTGCGGGAAGTTGGAGCATATCAATTTCCCCGTGTTTCAGCCCAGTACGCCTGATCCAGCCCCGGCCAAGAACGAGGCCTCCCCCAGCCCCCCCGAAGGGGAAGCTGAGAAGCTGAAGGAGAAGGAACCCCAAACTCAGGGGGACAGCACCAGCCTCAGCCTGGCCCTCAGTCTGGATCAATCCACAGATAGTTTAGGGACCTACCCTGCGGACCCACAGGGTGGAGGCAACAACACCGAAGCGCATGGGGCAGCGTCCGAAGCGAAAGGGGAAAAGAGAGCAAGCTTGGTGGATCGCCAGCCTTCCACGGTGGAATATCTGCCCGGGATGCTTCACTCCAATTGCCCCAAGGGTCTTCTCCCCACTTTCTCCAGCTGGTCTCTGGTGAAGCTGGGCCCTGCCAAAGCCTACAATTTCCACGCCGGCTTGGATCAACAAGGTTTCATCCTGGGCACCAACTATTTAATGCCCTGGGATATTGTCATCCGCACGCGGACGGATGAAGAGGGAGACCTGGATACCAATTCTTGGCCGGCTCCTAACAAGGCTATTCCGGGGAAACGGAGTGCAGTGGTCATGGGCCGAGGCAGGCGGCGGGACGACGTCGCTCGGGCTTTTGTGGGTTATGAATACGAAGATGCCCGAGGCCGGAGGTTCATGTGCTCGGGACCAGAGAAGATCATGAAAGTGATGGGTGGAGGGCCTAAGGAATCGGCCGTCAAAGCCCTCAATTCCGACATGCCCCTTTACATCCTATCGTCCAATCCAGGGAGGGGACTTAAGCCACACTATGCTCAGCTGATGAGGCTTTTTGTGGTGGTCCCTGATGCTCCCCTGCAGATAATACTGACCCCCCAGGTAAGACATGTAGAACCCTTGAGCATTGAGTTGGTTCTCAATGTGTTACCTTTCTATCTTTCTACATTTAATTCACTTACTTGTTATCCCGTCTTTATTATTTCTGCAAATAAGTGAAGGCGACAAACATACCTTAACACGCCTTCCTCCTCTCATTTTACCCAAAACAAGCCTGTGAAGTGGCTTGGGCTGAGAGGGACAGGATCCCAAGGTCCCCCATTTGGCTTTTGTGCCTAAGGCGGGACTAGAACTCAGTGTCTCCTGGTGATTGGGCCAAAGCCATACAGCCAGCTTTCATGGCCGATGCGGGACTAGAACTCACCGTCTCCTGGTGATTGGCCCATAGTTACCCAGCTGGCTTTCATGGCTAAGGTGAGACTACAACTCACCGTCTCCTGGTGATTGGCCCAAAGTCACCCAGTCAGCTTTCATGGCCGATGCGGGACTAGAACTCACCATCTCCTGGTGTTTGGCCCATAGTTACCCAGCTGGCTTTCATGGCTAAGGTGAGACTACAACTCACCGTCTCCTGGTGATTGGCCCATAGTTACCCAGCTGACTTTCATGGCTAAGGCAGGACTAGAACTCACCGTCTCCTGGTGATTGGCCCAAAGTCACCCAGTCAGCTTTCATGGCCGATGCGGGACTAGAACTCACCGTCTCCTGGTGATTGGCCCATAGTTACCCAGCTGGCTTTCATGGCTAAGGTGAGACTACAACTCACCGTCTCCTGGTGATTGGCCCA